AAATTTTATTTAGAGGAATGACTTAAACAATTAAAACAACAACTTTGATAATAGAGTTGATAGAATATAAGTTTTTAAAATGACAGAACATGATTCTAAGAAAGTTAAGGTATTTGTTGTAGAGAAACAAAATAGTGCTATTTTCTTATTGCTGTTATTTAAACATGTGGATAAACAAAGTGTGATTATCTAAAATGGTTGAAAAGATTGCCATGGAATAACTTTTTAATGAGTATACTATGGTGAACTGTAGTAAAAACTTCATAAGCCCAACAGTTGGCTACCATACCCGGTTAATTGAGTATAATATAGTCATCCCAAGCTAAAAATATTGAGAAAGAAGAGATAAGCATTTTTCTTTTTTATAAATTCGTTTGAACTTTTTGGTTATGTTACCGATGTAGAGAACTGGAATTTATACAATTTATGATAATATTAGAAAAGAATTACTAATATGATTGATTTAATTGCTTTTTATTTTATTTATTTATAAATAACCAAGAAACTTATAAGGATCATTCTTATTGACAAATTTTAACTATAAAATAGAGTGCCAATTCAAATATTACCTGAATACATGTATATTATTATATAAGTGTGAATTACTTTAAAATAAAATCTTTATTGTTAAACATGTTTCTTGATAAATTTTTAAAATAAAGGTTAGTTTGACAAAAATTATTTAAAATATATTTTATAGGGTTATTAGAACAATATAATAATATTTACAATCAATTGAATAATTTAAATGATTTAAGTTAAATTTTGCAATCATCACCAAATTTCTTTTAATTAAATAATTGTTGCAATCAAATGCGTATAACGTAAATAAACTATGGTTTTTGTAACCAATATAATAATTTTTACAATCAGTTAAATTACTATTGCAATCAATTACATAATCAAATTTGTCTAAGATTTACAATAAATTAAATATAAATTATTTTTAATAAGAATTTTTACCCCATTATGAATTAAAGTAGTATAAATAAAATTTTAGATGCGATGATAGTAAAAAAATACTGACAAATATAGAAGCGGTAGAAAAGAAATCTCTAAAGTTTTTGTAAGATAGTATAGTAAGTTTGAAGAGATAACGTAAAGTTATCTCTAATGATGACAGCCAAATAACAGTATATAAGTCAATCGAAAATCACATGTTCAAACCATAGTAGATATATTAATAGCACCTTATCAGATTATTAATGGTATTTAAAAACGCTATAATACTACTAAAAAGGTATTACTACAATCTCATTGTGGTGATAAGCGTTTTAAACATAGTAGTGTTCAAAAAAAAATCGACCACATAATTTTTTAACATAAGTTTAAAACTAAGTATGAAAAAACCAATTTTTTAACTGAGAGATATAATTTAAATTAAAAATTGAATTTAAGTTTAATGAAGAAAATTTTTAATATAATTTTTATTTTATACTTAATTCAATAAAAATATAAACAGTGTTCTAATAAATTCGGTCACATTTTATTTAATAAGTAGTGTTTTTACTTTTTGCTTGATAAACAGCTAAAACTTTTTTATGAAAACTTAAAATTATGGTCTAACCATCTCAGGTATAATAGAATTCCATATTTTAACAATTTCTTCTTTAAGATTTTTTTGTTAAGCTTACCTTTTTCTCTTAAGGACATTATCTCGGTTAGACATTTTATTGAAATCTTTCTTATTTATTTCGTTATCTTTAATCATCCTATTACTTTCGATGGGTTGAAATATTTAAAAAATTTTTTAAAAAAAAATATTCTGTAGTAAACTTTAGAAGTTTACGACAGACATCTTCATGTACAGTGGTGTTTAAAAAAAATCGGCCACCAAATTTTTTTAACATAAGTTTAAAACTAGGTATAAAAAAACAATTTATTGATTGAGAGGTGTAATTGAAATTAAAAATTGACCTTAAGTTTAATAAAGAAAATCATTAATATAATTTTTATTTTATACTTAATTCAATAAAAAATAAAAACAGTGTTCAAAAAGATTCGGCCAGTAAAATTTTCCCTCTATTTTCACATTTTCACATGCTATTTTTTCTTATTCCTTGTCTAAACATTTAAATGAAATTGATAAAGCTTTTATAAAAGAAGATTTAAACAATGGTTTAAATTGTAATCAAGTTGCAACAAAAAGAGGATTTGCTAGATCCACAGTCCAAAAATATTGTAATTTATTCAAATCTGAGATACCAATCAGTCGAAAATATGGTTCTGAAAAAATAACTAAAATTATTTTTGATATGAAAATTTGTATTAAATCTCTTTATGAATCAAATTCTTTTATTACATCATTGGAAATTTCAAAGAATATTGAAGAAAAATTTAATATTAAGATTTCAAGACCTACTGTTTCAAGAATATTGAAAAACTTTGGTCTTTTAACTAAAATTGCTGTGAAAAAACCCTTACTTAGACCTATTAATATAGTAAAAAGATTTAAAATTTCAAAATTTTTAGGTATGAAAAATGAGACGTTAAAAAGAATTATTTTTACTGACGAAACTAAATTTAATTTATTTAACAGTGATGGTGTTCAATATGTTAGATATTATCCTGAAAAAGGTATGATATGAAAAATATTATTGGCACAAAAAAACATAAACGGTGGATTTATTATGGTATGGGTTTAATATCATATAAAGGACCAGAAGGTTTGTATTTATTAAAAATATTATGATTGGAGCAGCTTAAAAACAAATTTTACCCCAAAATTTAAGAAATCTGTTATTGAAATGGGACTTGATGAATTTACAGTGATGGAAAATAAAAATGAGACTAACTTAAAGTTTTGTTTTAAAAGTTATTCTTATTGAATTTTATTTTAAATTATCTTCTATTTATATTGTAATACCTATTTATAAAAAAATTATATACAATAATGCTTTTAAACAATATATGTTGTAAAAATTTTTTTAAGTGGAAAAAATGTATGAGACTTCTTTGAAAAATTTTCATTTTCCCTCTTAAAATAATTAAAAATAATTTTTTATTATCTCTTTAATAACAAAACATATTACTAAGGATGACAAAATAAAAATAGTTACATTGAAAGAAGCAGGAGTAAAGAATTTGGAAATTATGAATAAATTTAAAATAAGTAAAGCAACCTTTTTTAGAATAATTTAAAGGTATAAATTAATTAATAATATTGATAGAAAGAAAAGGATCTAGTCGTTCAAAGAACTTTAATGAATTAGAAATTGATATTTTCAAAAGTAAAGTAAAAAAATTAAAAAATTGGTTAAAGAAAATCGGCTAAAGAACTTAATGTAGTACTATATAAAACAGTTACATCAAAAACATATAGAAATGTTTTAAATGACAAAGATTTAACTGTTTATAGACCATTAAAAAACCTTTTTTCATAAATTAATCATTTTTCAAGATTAATGTTTGCAAAGGAATATCTATGGGATACTATATATTATTGGAAAAGAATTTTGTGGTCGGATGAAAAAAAATAACTTATTTGGTTCAGATGGTATGGTTTATATCAGAATACCAAGAGGTATAAGGTATGATGAAAAATGTCTAAATCCTACTATTAAACATAGAGGAGGGAATTTAATTTATGGGGTTGCTTCTTATACAACGGTATTGGGAAAATAGAAGTGGTTAAAGGTAACATGACAGCCATGTCATATGTTCAAATTTTAAACAGAAATTTACTTTCATCTGTTAAAAATTGAACATAGATGATGATTTTATCTTTCAAAAAGATAATGACCCAAAGCATAAAGTTTCTTAAACCAATGATTTTTTTGAAAAAAGGAGATAGAACCTCTAGAATGGCCTGCCCAAAATTCGGATATAAATCCAATAGAAAATTTGTGGCATTTTCTAAAAATTAAGGTCAATTAAAGAAAACCAAAGAATATAAAAGATTTAGAAAAAATTGTTGAAGAAGAATAGTATAAAATGCTAAAAGAACTTTGTGAAAGACTTGTTTGTTCACTTCCAAAATGAGTTGAAGAATTTTTTAAATCTAAAGGAAGAAATACAATGTATTAAAATAAACTGTCCCATTTTTATTTTTCACCATTGTATATTAACAGAAAAAAGAATCAAGTTTAAATTTCTGGTAGCAGAAGATTCAAACTACAAAATAAGATATATACTAGGTGGTTCATATGGATCAAGTCTTGATGCGTATATGTTTTCGTTATCAGATCTTGGAATTTTTGCAAAAAATAATCTTAAAATTTATTACAACTCTGACTTAAATTTGCATAATTATCAACAATATTATATTTTAGGGGACAGTGCATACCCAAACAGAGATTATTTGAAAACACCTGTTAAAGGAGAATTGACAATTGAGGATCAAGAATGGAATGATATGTTAATATTACCAAGACAAGTTATTGAAAGAATATTTGGATATTTTTAAGGGAAATTTCAGAAGTTTAGAGATGAAATTGATAATTTAGATTTAGATTTTGTTTCCAGGTTATTTTTTGCCTCGGCTATTATTTATAATATAACTATTAAAGAAAGAATATCTGTAGAACTGGAAGAATAAGTTTTAAGAATTATAAAAAGTGATGAAGATAATAAATAAATTTATTTGTTCTTGTCATGAAATACTTTGTTAAATAGACTTAATAATTGATCAATCCTACTTTCAATTTTATCAATTTTCATGTTGAGTTCTTGATATTTTTGATTTTTAGTTTCTTTACTGTTAGCTTGAATTAACAATTCTATAATTTTATTTTTTTGATTATTATTTTTTTCTAAATACTCCACAATCAGTTCTGCTGCAGTTTGCTTCTGTTTTTTAATATTATTATAGTCATCATTAATTCTTGTTTCTAAAAAATCATTTCTAAAACTTTCTTTAGTTGACTCTTTACACGAATCAGAAATCAATTTTGCTGATTCTCTTAGATTTGAAGAGTCAAAATATTCAAAAAACTTCCACTTAACTCTACCTTTACCACTCTTAGAAGCTTTCTTTTTCTTTTCTCTATAAATTTTTCTAAAGATCATTAAACTTTAACTTTACGTCTGATAAAGAAAATTCAGTACCGAGTTCATTAACAATTTCATGCCACAACTTATTAAGTTTATAATGACCGCCTTTATGTTTTGTAAACTTTTTAGATAATCTGCGTTCTGTTTTAAAAATTTTAATCTTTTTGTATACTCTTCTGTAAATTTCATTTAAATTAAAGGTTAAAATTTTTGCATTTGTTAAAAATGAAATAAAAAAACTTTAAAAATATTTTTTAAAAAGTTTTTAAACCCATGATTCATTGGTTTAGTGGTATAATAGAACCCTTAGTTAGTAGTCCTGTAGAAGACCTGATAGAATTTTTATGTATTAAAGGTATACTCAAAAGGTATGTAAAGTGTGGAACATGTCTTCTAGATATGAAAACGAAACCATACACTAGAAATAGTGATAGTGTGGCGTTCAAGTGTTGTAATAGAAATTGTAATGATTTTTCCAAGTATGTTTCAATATGCACCAAGTCACTACTATCAGGCTTCACTGTACCTCTAAGAGACTTTTTATTAGTGGCTTATAAATGGTTTAATAACCATACACATGAACAGATAGGTACTGAGGTGAATATTAAAAATAAGTCAATTATTAAAATTATTGATTTACTTCGTAATCAATGTTTTAAATATAAGACAAAAAATCCAATTCGTCTTGGTGGTGATGGTATGATTGTTCAAATAGACGAGAGTTTATTTAGACATAAACAAAAATACCATCGAGGTAGACAACCAACAAGAGAGATTTGGGTATTTAGACTAGATGATTGTTCATTTATTCCAGCAAAAATCTCATTGTATGTTGTTCCTAACAGGACTGCTAACACTCTACTACCAATAATAGAACGAGTTTGTGCTTCAGGAACAATAATCCACAGTGATCAGTGGAAAGCATATTTAGGCATAAGTAGTAAATTAAGACTTGCACATTTCACTGTTAATCACAGTGAAGGGTTCGTAAATCACAATAACGGTGTTCATACACAGAACATCGAAAGTATATGAACAATTTTAGATATGTTATTAAAACGCATAAAGAATTGTAGAATATAAAATTAGACTAATTTTATCTGAATTAACTTAAAAAAATAATTTAGACTTAAATAAAACTTTTGATGATTTATTGAGATTATTAAGATTTGATTAAATTTAGTTTTTTTATTTATTTTTTATTTTCAAATTATTATTTTCACTTGTTTTTGTTATGGAAAAATTTTTGCACTTGATCCAAAATTTAAATATCAATTTATTTGTTAATATTTGAAACCAAAGGCTTAATTTCATAAAAAATTTGAGTATAAAATTTTGAATGTAAAATATATATGTTTTTTAATGTTTAAAAAAATGTTTGAAGATTTTGAAAAACAAACTTTTATAAATTGATAATACATTAAAAATTAAAATTTTATTATTAAAAAAATTATTAAATTTTTTAAATAGTTATAGTCGGCTTTTATAATAGTTTAAAAAATAAAGTTTTAAAACAAAACTTTGAAGTATTATTTTATTATTTTGAGAGTTTTTTGTTTAATTAATAAAAAAACATTTAATAACACTCTATTATTTTAGATAGTCGGCTAAAAATTAAATTATTCAAAACAAAAATAATTATAAAAATAATTGAATTATTTAATTAATAAACAATAAATTAAAAATTTGGTTTTTATTTTAAATAGTAAAATTAATGTTTAAATAATGTGTTAACTAAAAAATCTTTTAAATGTTTTAAGTAGATCTATTGATGTTTTTTAATAATATGTATATTGAATATTTATATTAAAAACATTTTACTTATGTTTAAAAATGATGTTTTAAATGTTGATTTATATTAGTTCTGGTTATAAATTAAGTGAAAATTTTAGCAACTCTTTTAAAATATTCAAAAATAAAAAAAAATTTATTTGAAAAAATGTTCGAT